AGCTTTATAGCGTTCAACTGCTGTCCTTTGCCTTGTCAGGAGCTTGACTTTTAACTGGTCCTGTAGATAGTTCAGAAAAGAAAGGAGAAGACAGAGTCTTGGAGAACCATGGCCTCCTATGGCCCGCCCTGATTCTGAATCCATTCCACTTCAAACTCCACGCAACAGTTCATGTCTCTGAAGTCGATCTCCTTCCAGATGACATGGCTCCCAGCATGCTCTGGGGTGGCCAGTTCCCCTGCAAAAGGCCAGATTGAGGTGGCATTTCTGTGTGCATTCCTAGAAGGGTGGGTGTCAGGCTTCCATCGTTCTGTGACAGCCTCAGTCCAGCAGTGTTCCAAATAGGAAACCGAACCACAGAGCTAACCCCACCCGGCCAGAGCATGCCTCAGAGACTTGGCACCCGCGGGTGAAGGGAACAGCCATCCTCAGATGGGAGGCATTGGGCAATTGCAAAAACTCAGATGCTATTTGGATAAAGTGGCTTTAAGTTCATTCCACTTTAAAGCATGGAGAATGTGTGTTTTCTACAAATGAGAGGAAATGCACAAATGGACCTATTTTCTGCTTCAAGTGCACATTAGAAAAAACTTCTACTGCTTCTGAGTTTAAGGAGACATGTTCTCTGTTTTAAATACCCCCCTTACATAGTTAACCAGTGTACCTGAAGGCAGACGTGAAAGATGAGAAAGAACAGTCCATCCCCACTTTTTGTTCCCAGGCCGTGTAGCCCCAAGAGGCACAATTCCTCCAAGAACTGTCTGAAGACTTGCAGTACGTACACCTGTTACACAGCTTTAGCAACCAGCAGAAGAAACACTCAAAGATTTATAGTCATATTGCTTCAAATCGGTAGTTTTTGACTTCTCGCGTATTGACCCACACGTGGATTCCAGACTGAAAATTTTATTATCTGAAGCAAACCGTTCGGCCCAGCTTAGATAGCTTACAGCTGTGTCTTCCCTCCCATTATACATTCAGTATAATGACATATCGTTGTTCATCTGCAGCCTGAAGAATTATATGCTCTTAAAAGGATTGGCTGGGGAAAAAAAAAGAAGAAAGAAAAGGAAGGAAGGAATCTTTTTAAAACCAGCTTTGTAATTTAGGAATGAGAGAAGCATCTCTTCAATTCAGGTTGCAATCTTGCTCCCATCAGAGAAGTGAGTTTGAAAGGGACAGAATGGAGGGCCTCTCCATTTGCTGGGAGGGACTCTTAACCCAGGCCCTCGTGGGCTCTGCCGAGGGCCACTGGGCACTCAGTGGGCTTCCCAAAAGAGAGGCATGTATTTCTGAAAGGCAAGAAAAAAGAAAAAAAAAAAAAAAAGCAAGATCAAGCCTGTACTGAAGGTGCACAGACTTCCTTCCGTACTTGGGTTTTTCTCCCTTCTAAGGGGTGTTTGAAAGTTTTTCCTGTGCTTCTAACTAAGCAGAAACCACATCACGTCTTCTGTCTTCTTTGCTCACCACTGGAGACCCTGGTGGTTAGAGAGGGAAAGTCCCTTTCGATGGTGCTTGTGGGGGTAGAAGCGTCGGGGGCCAGGCGGGCGGTGGGGAGGGGGCGGGAGGCATCATGAAGGCTTCCTCTCTGGCCTCGACAGCGCACCCGCCCTGGCCGGACTCTCCGGGCCTCAGAGCAGCTAAGCCTATTTTTCTATGCTCTTGATCATCTTGGGGTGATGGGGGAAGAGGTCATTAAACAGAGACAGAGCGGTCACCTCAAGAGCCCGGTGGCCCCGGGAAGCCTGAGGCCTCTGTGCACCTGACTCCTTAGCACAGGTCCCGAAGGACCGGGGGGACACGGGGCCAAGAGGGGGCCTGTATTTGGAGGGAGGTGTTTCAGGGCAGTGTCTGTGGTGACATTTCTTTTCTAATTACAGTAACAAAAAGCCACGTGACAGTGTACCACCCTGACCGTTTGGAAGTGTGCAGGCCAGCAGGGGTGACTGCCGCAGACTTGTTCCTGCAAAGCTGAGCGTCCACCTGCCGAGCAGCCCCCTCGGCCCCTGGGCCGGGACCCTTCGGGATCCTGCTGCTCATCGCCAGAGCTGCTCTTTGGTTACATCCGTAAACCTGATTTCCGCACCAAGTCTTGTTTCGCATCCCACCACCAGCCAGCTTGTTCAGGGGGCAGTTGGGATGCACGCTGCCCATGAGCATTCGTCGCACGCTGCGGATCACATGACAAACCCCCGTGCTCAGCGCGGTGCCGGCGTCGGCCGCGTAAGAGGGGTGTTATTTGCACCACCCAACCGGTCAGGAATGAAAATAACGATGGCCTCCTTCGGTGTTTACAAGCCTCCCGGGCGAGAGCGCGTGTCATTTGGAGCTACCGTCTTGTCTGCTCCCTCGGAGGAATGGAATGTCTTCGCGGCACCCCGGCGGCGGCGGGGGCACGAGGAGCGGAGCCCAGGCCTCCCTCCCGCCCCCCGAGGGGCTGCAGTCGTCTCCCCGGCAGCACGTCGTGTGCGTTCCCATCGCTCTGCGCATGTCCTCGCACGAGTCACTCCCAAACAAACCCTCCCCACAGGTTGTCCTTGGAGCCAGAGAAGGAGGCGGCTGAGTACTCTCACCCCATCAGCACGATCCATTTGTCATTCTCTGAAAATAGAGTTGTCCCTCCGGTCGGGCCAGGTCCGCCCCCGGTGCGTGCTGCTGCACCTGGGGAGGAAGGCCGAGCACAGCCACATTCCAGGGGGAGTGGTTTCCCTGCACCCGGGCGGGCGGGTGGGGCTCTGCCTGCAGCCACCCTTGAAGGGTTGTTGCACAACAGTCACAGACTCTGGAATGTCTCTGGTCATTTGCAGCGTGACTGTGTCACTCCATAAATGACACTACTGTCAAGCTTCAAGGCTCAGAATGAGGTTGGCTTGTTTCTCAATAGACCATTTTCTCCCGCCCAGAACAAAGCTTCCAGGCTTTTACAATGGACTTCTTACTCGGAGACTCCTAGAAGAATAGAAATTCAGGCCAAAGAAAACACAGGAATAGATGAGGGTCATACAGGGGCCTGAGGACACCTGAGTGGCTTGGCCACAGCTGTCTGCAGATAAGAAGCCTTCTAGAAATCCACTGGGCTCTCTCAGAGGGACTCTGCGTCTCTTCTCACCCTTACTTGACTTTTTTCCTTTGGTTCATTTCCTTCATGAAATAAAAGAGAGCAACAGATTAGGGTTCCAGGGAACGTATGATGCGTGAGTCATGTCTATGTTTTCTGTAGTATTCATTTTCAATGGCCTTATTCAAATACAAGAAAAAGAAAGTAAAAAATGTGCCTTAAAACTGATTTGGGTGCTTCTGTAATACAGTCATGAATCTGAAAGCATAATCATGAAAATAATGTCTTGCTCTGCATTTAAAATGTGTGTTATTATGGGCTGTCACAACCATTTTCTCATTTTTTCCTCACAATGTCCTCGGAGGCATTGTTCTGTCATCCCCATTTACATACAAGGAAATAGAGGCCCAGAGACATCAAATTAAGTTGGGTGGTGTAGGAAAGAAACTTTGACCCCTTTTGCATAAAAAGTCCCTCAAAACAGTAACTGTTCTTAGTAAGTAACTTGCTTCATGTCACCCAACTAGAACCTTCCTGCACCATGGCTGAGAACTCCTCTCTCCGCTTTAACAGAGCAGCCTTAGTCCACAAAATACAAGGGATACGGTTCTAAACATATTCCAGAACCTCCACTGCATTAGGTACTGACCATAGAATGAGAGAGTTGGTTAAGGATTCCCCAAGTGTAATTTACACTGTCTTGTGTACTTCTGACCTGTTTCCCCAAAAAGTGCTTTAATAAATCCTCTTTCCTGTTCCTCTTACTTTTCAATCATTTTATCAGAAAGCTTGCTAACATGTGAATTCCAACATAGGAATCTTGAGTTTTGTGGGGTTCTTTTTGTCTCAAATTGTGGGGTTTTCTTTCCTAATCATGAAAGATAAATCCAGAATTTTTGCTTATACATTCACTCATTTGTTCATTCAATGAACATGTGTTACCTTCCAGGCCACAGGTGAGGTTCAGGTATGAATAAGACTAGGATCATACTCTCAAAAAGTGACTTGCCTCCAGAGAGAACAAGCTGTGTATAATTTGACTGATGTTACTGGCCTCTTTTAAATGAATTACTTGTATTATTATCTGCTAAAAGGGAGCAAATTGAATTAAAAGCACTAATAACTAGCTTTCATTTTGTAGCTTTTAGTTGCATAGGTATTTGGGTATCTTCTGCATATCGTTCATGTTTGGCTCAAAAAGCTTAAGTAAGAATAGTGCACATTATGAGTATATTTGGATCTGGACATTTAATAGAAAATTCCATGCTCCACTTATATTTACATTAGCTCATTTCGTGCAATGCTGGGATAGAATATTAACAAAATTTACTGTTAAATCTGGCTAGAATGGAAGGAAAATTAAAACATTCTTGTTACAGATCAGTGACCATTTAGGAGTAGGTGGTTGGTTCCTTGAGACTGAACTACAGTGACATTTCTGTATAGGTCTTCAGAAATGTGTCTCTGGATAATATCATAAACAAAAAGAACTCTAGTTTTTTTTTTAAACATTATATAAAACCTGAGATGTCCAGGGTGTACCTTCAACCATCCATGCATCTTACAAGGATTCATAAAATCATGTCAGGTCATTCTTTTATTTCAAAAGAATGCACTTCCTGAACGACAGCAATATCTGGGGGTGGGGAGAAGGGTGTTCCCATCAGCAGATGGGGAGAGAATCCTCCTGGGGGTGCAGCTGAGGCCACAGGGCATCAGGAGCCCAGGCTCCTCCGGTCTGGCCAGCCGGGTGACTTAGGTAAGAGCGGGAGCCTCTCTGGGTCTGTTTCCACACCTGTAAAATGCAGTCATTAAACCAGATGACCTCCAATTCCATTTCTACAAATCAGTGAATGCAAAGCTTCTCAGTCATCTTCATGAAGCTGTATTGACCTTAAAAACCTCTGTGGACAGCTCACTGACGGCGCTCCCTGCTAGCCGCTCTGCCCAGCAGTGTTCCGCTCAGGGTGGCAGACAGCAGGGCGGTGCTGCCCTGTAGCTCTGGTCAGAGCTTCAGGAGGACTGATGGCTCAGCACGCGGCCCTCTGCCCTGTGGGTCACGGCTGCTGGTGCCCAGGTGGGTGTACCTTCACCCATCCATACATCTCACAAGGATTCATTAAACCATGTCAGGTCATTCTTTTATTTCAAAAGAATGCACTCCCTGAATGACAGCAAAACCTGGGGGTGGGGAGGAGGGTGTTCCCATCAGCAGATGGGGAGGGAACCCTCCTGGGGGTGCAGTAGGACCCTCCTTCTGTTACGAAGGAGGTGCCAGCACCATGGGGTGAGGCAGGAGCTTGAAATGTGGACCATTTATAACCACTCAGATTCCAGAACACTTTGCTCAAGCTAAGGAGTGTCACCCTCCATCCCTCCACCAAACCGCCCCCTTGGGTAATCACACTCCTCCAGCGGGACTTGCACTTCAGCGCCTTCTCCTCCCTGATGGTAGGTGCCCTGCAGTTGTCTTCCAACCCAGAAGCCTGATGACAAGCCTTTCCTGGTCGGGGTGCGATGAAGGGTGAATTGGGCTATTTTTCCTAGACCCATGGGTCTACTCTTTCAGGTGACTAAAGAGAGAAAAGAAAAAAGACAAAGGAAATAAACACCCAATGCCCTGTCCAAGTGGAGGGCCAAGGAGACCCTGCTCAAGAGTACTGATGTTGACACAGGAGTCACTCTAGGTAACTAGGGGTCTTAGAAATCCTGGAAAAGTTTTGTACAGATTAATACAACACTTACTTGTCTGGAAAACTATTTTTGTTTTCAGGAGCTAATAAGTCTTGAAACTACAAAGCTGTATAATCTTTAAGCTATGAGATGTCGACATCATTATTTTGAGACCAGCCAATCAGACCACACGTTCGTCCGCCCAGGTCATATTGAGTGTTCGTTAAACATCATGATAAACACGCCTTCCTTGTTTGCTAACAAAGGGGGCATTCTCTTCTGGGTCACTGGTGACAGCTGATGCAGCCCGATTAAAATCATCTGCCGGCTCCCTCCTTTTCCTGATTTATTCCAGAGCTGTCATGAAGCCACAGTGCGATTTCCTCCCCCTGATTTTTCCTCCCTCTTCATCTCTTCCTTCCCCCCTTTCAGCTTCCTCTGGGCTGAACAAGATTTCCTCACGTGAGGAAATGTCTGCCTACTGACCAGTCGGGCACTTCTCCACATCACCGCAGCACCACGTGGTGAGCTGGCGTTCCACCCCGACCGGGTGAGATTCCAGGAGCTGGAGACATCTGCCTGCCTCCCAGGATGGCCAGTTTCTCCAGAGGAGTTGTTTACTCACCTTGCAGAGCTGGCCAATGGAATGATCTCTTCTACCTGTGCATGAAAACCTGGGGAAATAGTCTACTTTTGGAACATATTCTCAATATCTGCTTTTATTTACATCCATTTTATTTATTTGCTTTTTGGTGTTTCCTGTGACTGACTGGTTGTGATTTTAAGCAAGTCATTTAACCTCTAAATTATCATTTCTTATCTCTAAAGTATCATTCAGATGATTTAGGAGCTTTAATTAATTCATCTGATGTTTATGAAACCCAGCAGTGCGTCTGATGTCCTCTGTGTGCTCGGTAGCACAGCACGATGTCTCCTGTTTTCCAGGCATTGACAACGTCGTTGACAAGACAGACATTTACACATGGAAAAAAAAACTAACAGCACCAGCAGTCCCACAATAATGCCCATTAAGAAGATGTTGCATGTACAAGGATATTCATGGCAGCGTTGTGTTTTAATGAACAGGATTTTGGAAGACATCTAAAATGTCCATTAATAGAAGATGGGTGAAACAAATTATGATCATTTATATGATGGAATACTACACAACTATAAAAAATGATGGGGTGGTTCCACATTTACTTAAATGGAAGCATTCCAAAATACAACTTAAGAGAAAAAGGCAAGTGTGTGGTAGTATATACTATGCTACCATTTGTGGAAAGAAAAAGTAGGACTATGTATGGGAAGTCTTATATACTCATTAAACATGATACACAAGAATCTGGGAAAAGGGAACGGCTCTGGGGGGCCTAAGAAATGGAGCAGGAGGAACACTGACTTTACCTTTAATATCCTCTTGTTTCTTCTGAATTTTTCACCATGTACATATACTATCAAAATTTTTAATAAAAAATAACATTTAGAAGGCGTCCTAATCCTCTGGCCAGCCCTCAGCAGTGAGAGCTGGTGAACATTAAATAAGGGACAAATAGAGAACATGTTTCCATAGAGATCTGAAAAGTGGAGCGGGTTCCCAGCAAGAGGTTTTGCAATAACTCTACTGGAAGTTCTACTGCTCTGTCCCCTTCAGGTCAGTTCCAGTCTGATACTTGTAGATGTCAGGCACGACAGAAGGGGTCTCTACGACCTAACATGACCCTGGACTTGGGGCAGTAAGTCACCATGGCGACATGGTTATTCAAAAGGATGTGGACAGCACTGGGGTGGGGGGATTTGGGGAGCAAGCCAGACGTGCCATGAGTGGAAGATTCTTCCTCCCCTGAGAACCTCTGCTGCCTCTGTCACACCCATAGGTGTCCCCTGTCACCTGGACACGTGAGGCCGAGAAGAGGCCTGGGAGCTCTGGCTCCTGTGTCAGGAGGGTCATGCCTTCTTGGCCCCAAGCTCTTCCTGGCGCACTCCCAGAGGGTATGGCAGTTTATCAGACTTTTATTACCGTCGGGAACGGCACCGCATAGACTGGCAGAATCGCAAAGCCAGGAGGGACTATGGCCACGGGAAGCAGTGACACTCAGGCATCAGGCATCAGGTGCCAAGCTGGGGCGGCACTGTCGGTCTGCTGACTCCCAGCCCAGCACTCGTCTCATGACAGCACGTAGTGAAGCGCCCCTTGAGTTTTCAGAAGGGGCCATGCTGGGCCCTGATAAACATGTCTCTGAGACCACATGGTGAGGGCAAACAAGGTGGGCACAGGGCTTCCCGACGGCCGGCGAGCAGGGCAGATGGAGGGACCAGGCGCTCACCCCCGTGCTGCAGAGAAGGTGGGTGGCCACCCCTCCGCCAGCCAGCACAGGCGCTCTTCAGGGTCTCCCTGGTGCCCCATGGTGGATCTAGTCACCCTAGAAGTTTCAGCTCCAAAATTTCCTCCCCAAAAAGTATCTTACATCAGTTTTTAATCAGTGATGGGTTATCTAAAACCTCCTACAGTCTCAGGTCTGGAAGGCATACTACAGGAGTAAAGCAATAAAATCGACAACTTTTGTCCCTTTTTCCTGTAGGAAAAAATGAAGATAAAACTTCGGAAATTGGACTAACTTTAAAAGTGTAATAAGGTCCAAATGCCCTCTTCAGTTTGAGTCCATGTCTCTTTCTGCCATTCACAGGCGTCCCCTTTGTCTACGGGACCGAGTTGATCAGAGCCCACCGGGCAGGCTGGCAAAGGGCCTCCTCGGCCTGGATGCTGACCTCTGACCCCGCTGCGTCTCACCCACCGAAGGGAGCTCTGACCCCTTTTACTTTCTGTTTACTAAAAGGAGTTTCCTCTTTTATTATGACTTCAGAAAATGTACTCTGGACTTGGAGTTTCCGAGGACAAGACCAGCTTATCTCCCTCCTGTCCATGAATCACTGCGTCTCCCCACCCGTTTCCACAGACACCTGAGCTGATTTTGTCTCGGCTAATGTGCTGCTGCTCTGCTCGGTGGGGCTCCCGCCACCCGGGCGGCCTGAGTCCATCGGGCCACCCTCCTTGTCATGGAGCTGAACGCTGATGACAGGACGCCCCCCACCGTCTTGCTGTTGGGGTTCTGACGGCCCAGCCGCTGAGCAGCAGGAAGGGGCCTTGCTCCTGGTTAGAAGAGGCGGTCTTCCTGTGTCTTGGCTCTTCTTGGCTATTGCTCGGCTCTCACTGCAGGCGAGGCCCAGGGTCTCGGGTCTTCATGAATAAAAAGGTGTCAGCACCCAAGCTAATCATTCTTCATTTCCAGCCACAGCCCAAAGGGTTTGCTGTCTGTCCTCGGAAATGACTCGACTAACACATGGGGTGGGGGGAGCTGCACCCCTGAATTAATCCTGCCTCATCTTCAGGCTTTGTCCTTTCATTTGCTGAAAAGGTGTTTAATTAACAACCCAGGACTGCATTCCCTTGCAGATGACTGCGTTTCATGAGATCATAAAATAAAAGGAAACATCTGCCAAGCTCACGCCCCCAGTCCTTGTCCCCGGCCTGACCTTGACTACTTTCATTTCTGACTCCTCTCCAGCACTCCCTTAGATACACCCGAGTCTCCCAGAAGGGCAGTGAAGCTCCCACCGGCGCCCAAGTCCCTGGCTGGCTCTATTCCCACGGCTGTTTCCACTGTGCCCGCCTCTCTCTCTGTCTTTCCTCCATGTTTACGTGCCCGTTACTGGCCAATCATTGAGTCGCCGTCAGTGTCCACGTTACACTTCCTTTTAGGCAATTGTTTCATAGACAGACACAAGTAGTCATGAAGTACCACCTGGCTTTGTTCCATCTCCATTTTTCCTACCCCCACTGCTCTTTTTTTCCTTTTTCCCTGAAGCAATGAGAAGTACGGAAATTTTCTCTTTTTCCTGACCCAGAACCAGTCTTCCGTCGGGGCTCATTCTTCCGCCTGCTTAAAATAAGAGGTGACGTTTACCAAATGCTTTACAAATACACACTCATAGAACACCCGAGGACCGTTTGCTTGTTCCCATCGTACAGTGGAGATGGTCTGGCTTTTAAAAGTGTGCTACCCTGCCTCTCATCACTTATGTGCTGGCTAATCACCTTTTGACCATTTAAAACACATACACACACATGAACTTAAATTTAAAAATAATTCTTCTGATATATTTTGAAGGATATATATTGAAGGATATTAATTCCTTCAGTAAGTTGACATCTTTGAGTCTGAGCATTGTCTACTGTCATAAAGTCTGTGTAAAACACTAAATGTTGATAAATGAAAAACAGAAATGTTACACATACTAAAGCCATGTTAAGCTATTTTGATGGTAAGACCTTCTCCATTCATAATACTAGCTTCTGACCCACCAGAAAGGGCTTCATTAATGTTCACTGCTAAAACCCAATAGTTGGTTTATCAATTAGGCCCCCTCACTAAGAGTCATTTAGATTCTATTTACTTTAACTTTCTACAAAACTCTAAATGGGCCGAGGATCTTCTTTGCAGTCCATGGAAGATGAGGAGATTCCCTACAGAGGGAAATTAGCAGGAAAGTAGACTCCAGAGAGGGTAGAAGAGGTGGGCAGCTGGTACCTGAACAGGTGGAAGAACTTTACGAAGGCATAAATGTAAGATCCTTCAGTGCAGGAGACGACAGCTGCGACCACAGCTTCCCTGACATGGAAAAATACGGTCACTGCTCCTCCCCACACCCCCAAGTCACTGCAGGGTGATGAAGAGGGTCATAACTCTTTCCAGGAGTTCCAACACCTTATGGTTAAAGCTTTATTGCTTGAAGGATATCAGTTAACACCAAGATAGCAAAAAATGACTCATTCCCCAAGATTTCTGGGTGGCTAAGTTTTACTTTGTCTATTTACATGCAAGTTATCCCAGAGATAAGCCACACTGTAACTATTAAACTGGTTTCTGATGACCATGATTTTATATCACCCAGTGACAAGTTCTCAGATTATGAAACAAGAATTAGCCTTAATTCACGAGTCCCTCAAGCATGGAGGACTCTTTCAGGAGACCCTGGCTTTCCGCTCGTACAGGGTTCGTGGAGGGGTCTGGCAAGAGCCGGAGTCAGCCGGGGACTGTAGTTGTTTTGCATGCACAGAAAGCCTGGTAATCTCTTTGGGAGGCCTGGACTGTGTACAAAGATCCCTCCCTTTTTGCATAATGGCATTTACTTCCTGGATTATAAAAATATTATCTTACTAAAGAGAAAGGAACTGGATCTGTGGTTTATTTTTGTGCAATGATTTAACTTAATTCCCCGTATTGAAAATGACCCTGTCAGTTACGAACCGAGTACAGGAAATAGTGTATTTCAGTATCACCAGAATCTTTGCTTTCACTCATTCACTCTTCCAATCTACACACAAAAGCCCAACATGATCCCCCTCCTCCGGTTTTTGACTAAAGAGCGCTTTTAAACTTTCTACTACGGAAATTTCCAAACATCCACCAAACTAGAGACAATAGCATAATGAACCTCCATATACCCATCATCCAGCTTCAGCTGTCATTAGGATTTTGTTATTTAAAGAGTGTGCCTTAGCGTACCCACACAAACTCCTTCTATTTGGATTCCCCAGCAGGCTGGACATACTTGGGGCTGGCGTCCCGCCGAGCAGAGCGTCCAGGCACTCAGCCGGGAGGTGTGTCAGAAGGATGTCAAAGGCTCTTCGCCCCATGGATGATGAATGCCATGATTCTTGGTGCCAGTCCCCACCCTCTCTCATTCTCTAAAGCTCTGTTGTAAAATGCCCTCCTGTAGGGAATTCCTCAAATCCTGTTAATAGTTGGTTTTATCAGAGTATGCTGGTTTTTATCAAATTATTTCCTTCGAGAAAAGACGACTTGGGAGGCACAGTCTGTGGTCCCTGTATCCTGGGGACGGACAGGGCCTGAAATGCAGCAAGAGGACAGAATAGCATGAGGCAAGGGGAAGCCACACTCACGATGCTGGTCACTGTCAGCCCTGGTAGCATCTCCTTCAAGAGGCTGCCCTTGAAAAAAACTTGTAATTCAAACATGTTTGTCACAATAATCAGGATTTGGGAGTGGCAGAAAGAATAAAGTAGAAGTCCTTTTATCATTAAAAAGATAGTTAAAAGAAAACAAATCCTACCATTTGCAACAACATGGATGGAGCTAGAGGGTATCATGCTCAGGGAAATAAGCCAGGTGGAGAAAGACAAGTACCAAATGATTTCACTCATCTGTGGAGTATAAGAACAAAGGAAAAACTGAGGGAACAAAACAGCAGCAGAA